GTTCAAGATTACGTAACTCAGATTTTTTTCTTTCTTCTTGCTCAATGAAAAGTTGAATTAACTGAAAGCTTTTAATGTCAGAATGTTGTTCTAACTTCTTAACGTGTCCTGATCCTGGATAGGAGGAGCTCTTAAACCTCTCTGCTAAGAGCTGCATGTAGACTGCAAGGAGAATTACCAGGTTATACTGTATTCCTCATTTAACCCCTGAGCTCTGGGATATTCTTTCTGTCATCCATGCCCTAACACTGCTCTCTCAGTTAATTCCCCTCCCATGCATGTGCAGCAGGACAATCCAAGCCCACTCAGCAGTTCCGTCAAGAGGAGTATATTGAATCCGAACAATAAAACTATATAGAACAAGAAGGTCAAAGAAATGTTTAAAGTTCTTATACAATACTTCTTTCACATCAGTGATTCAAAGTATTGAAGCAGAAGGACCGGCATGACTGCTATGTAGGCAACTGTCATTTTCATACTACTACATTGTAAGCTTTCATGAGCAGGGCCCTACTAATCCTCCGGTATTGAAATTGTTTTGTACCTGTCGTGTGTCTCTCTATTTTGTAAAGTGCTGAGCAAACTGTTGGTGCTATATAAATCCTGAATAATAATAATAATAATAATGAAAGCTCATCAATTGCAGCCTTCATGTTTCTCTAAAAACAGGCTTCCTATAAAGCTGAACTCCAGGTATAAAGTAATCTGCATATTTACATTGGTTCAGCTTGGCCCAATGTATATATGCATTATATTATATTATATGCATATAATACACCCTGTGGGCTGCTGGAAATCCTGTAAGGCCCGGTGCACATATGGGTGGCCCGGGACCCTGCGTTCTGGAACAGCGTGTTCAAATGTCGCGGTTGCTGTGCAGCCCCATTGACTTCAAATGGGTCATATCCGTGCAGCAACTGTGGCAAAAAAGCTCATGCACTTTTTGTGTGACAAGGGACCGGCCACAAATTGCGGCCCAAAACTGCAGATTGATGGCCACGATTGGGGTGCCATTAGAAATAAATAGCACCACAAGTGCAGTTTTTCGGTTGTGCGCGATTCCGGGCCGGGCCTAAAGCACTTTAGAGCTACTACTTTCAACAAATAAATACTAGGCATTCTCTGATTGGATAAGGGGCAGTGACATCATGATCTGGCCCTTGTCCAATCAGAGAATGTCTTGTATTCAATTATAAAAATACTAGGTGTTCTCTAGAATGGCCACTGTGCTGAACAAGGAACCCTCTTTGTTTTCAGAGCAGAGGGGAAGCCACTCAGCTCGGCACCAGACCAGACCTGTGGCGGATGCCGAGCCGTGCTGTCAGTAGCTATGTCTGGCAACACGTCCATCTCACTGACATCACTGGTTGCCAGGAGCTGGGCAGGATGCAAACCAGAGCATCACACTCTGCTCTAGGCAACCAGTGATGTCAGTGAGCTGACCGGGATGCCAGACAGAGTGTCACAGGTTGCTAAGAGGTCTTACCAACTTAGGGCGCAGTGGCTGGCCCCCCAACACCCAGCCACCCCCCATTGAGATGAGGCAAGTGCCTCAGGCTGCCTTATTATAAGGACAGCCCTGCTTGTAAAGCAAAAGTAATGAGCTTTAATGCATTTACTATCAAAGTCATAGTAATTAGGGGAGTTTTCAGTTTTTAGTAAATTATGGAAGTAAAAAATGTAAAGTAAGGTGGGAATGTCGCCCATATCAACCAAACATCTTGATCTTCTTCCAACTCAGGATAAAAAATAAATGCAGCAATTGGACATTTCAAAAATGAAAAACTGGAGTTGGCTTACATAGTTAAAGTAAAAGCTTGGAGCTTTAAACAGCTGGAAGTAAAAACTCTGAAATTCATTAAAATACACAACCTTCTCACACCAGTCTGACAGGATCCTCCCATTGTTTTCAGCTGTACTTTTGTACTATTGCCCATTACTTTGTGGCATATGGACAGGAGTGAAAAACTGTTCTGCTGGAATCCAACGAAAAATATTAGAGTGGGTGACTTTGGCAGTGTGTATAAATCTTTCAGAACTTGGGTGCTTTGTCAGACTGAAGAAATGATTATGCCAGCCAGCTGGGAAAATACAAGTAAAAACATACAACGCAGACACAAAAAACTCCAGGGCATCGGCAGCACTTTTAATTCTCATGCGTCGACAACTATTGTTAAAACCTGTTGAGGTGCCCCAGCCTAATCTGTGTCTGCCCCATTGGGTTGTGAACACTGTACCTAACCTTAAATGATCAGGAGCTGTCTTTATAAAACATGGTAATCAGATGTTAAAGTGGAAATGGAGGAGCAGTGTATCAAGTATATATAAAGTCATTTGTTATTCTTCTTTTGAATATTATATATATTAAACACACACAATGTTGCTTTTTAAAGTGTGGGGGTGTAGGCACAAAAAAGTGACCCCCTAATGTGCTTCTTCACCTTAGTCTTTTAGCCTAACCCTTGGACTGAGCCTAACATTTTACCCCCGTGCCACCTGAACCCTTAAACTAATCCCAAATATTAACCCTAAACCCATAACACTAAATTAAGCCCTTAACAATTATCTTGTTCCATAACATAGAGACTTCATTCTTGGAGTGCAGCTCCACTCAAAACTTTGTATTTTTTACTTTTGAATAGAGTGAGACAGGATAAAACTTCTGTTATATGTCCTCATAAAGCTGGCCATACACTAGTAGATTTAATTTAGCTGTGGGCTGAATGAAAAAAAATGTAACCGATTCCCCCATCCACAGAAAGCGCTAAGCGTGGATATGGGACTGCCCCCACCTTGCAGGCTATTGTATTCCGACATTGGTGGGTGTACCACTGTGAGAATACCTGAACAGTGACTACAGCTGGTTGGATGAAGTCACTGTTCGGTTGACAATTTTCCACCCGGCAACATTTTCAAATGTCGGAGGCTGCAGATAGGCCCACCTATGGAGCAAAACCTCTAATAATTTCTAACGCGGAACATTTACCTTGTCTGTGGCAAAAGTGTCTTCTATTTGGGGCTGGTCCCAGCCCGTTGGACTGCGTTGCCCAATAGATTCCCAACGCCTTGCTGTGTATAGAACCTGTGTGCTAATGCAGGCATCATTTTATCGCAGTGCGTTACAACCCCCTGCAACACATCACAATATGCTGCAGTGCAAATAATTTACATAAAAGTTAAAAACACAGCCCAGGCACTGCAATGTGTTATGGCAACGCATTGCATTGCAGTGCACCGTCACTGTCACCTTATTGTATATATTTATAATAATTCTATCCAAGCTTGCATAGGTGGACAGAGATATATGCAGAATTAGATATGTGATATGCTCCATATATTCTTGGGAATATAATGATGTTTGTTAAATATAAGAGCTGTATATTTAGCCCTCTCTGTCAGATATTTGTTAATAACTGTAAATCTTTTTTAAAAATAATGAAGCCAATCCAGGGTACAGGTATACAAATCAATACATAGACATAAGTTACAGAGAAGAACAAGAGGAAAGAACTTATGAAGAGACCGTTCAAAAAGTACTACCCTGAGCATAAAAGTGGCCATACACCAGTAGATCTTCGGTTGGAAATCGTACACGAATGGTCTGCCAAACACTAATCGAACAGTTGATGGTATATCAACGATTTTCGTTTTTGATATTGTGATCGAAATTTTTTCGATTGGTGAGGTTGGAAAATTTTTCTCTGACCGAACAAAAATCAATAAATCAGTGGGGTTTTCATTCGTCAAAAATCGTGGCAAGAACACAGCACAGGTGCAAAGGAAAATTATTTAGGTCGGTCGTCAAAAACTGGTTGGTCAGTATGGTTAATGAACGATTTCTGGAATCGACATTTGACTATGCTTGATGGGATATTTGAAGTATAATCAAATGAGGGTTTGTGGTGGAAAAGAAAATTTCCGACCGAAAATGTACTAGTGTGTGGCCACCTTAAGACAATGCAGCCTCATGCAGAGGATCCCGATAATAGAGTTACATACCCGCGACTGCATTAACCTGCAGAAGAATGTTAACCAGCAGAATGAAAATTTCCTGTCCGATATTTTTTTCTACAGTGGATGTTTTTTTTTTCTGAAGGTATTTACAATAAATAATTGCATTGAGATTTGTGATGTGAGATCATTACCAGAACATTTATTTTGTATTTGGGACAGACATTGCATGTTTTCTAAATACCCCATATATGAGGCAATTCAACATTCCAGGCAATTGCAACACATTTCTGGCGCCGTGACTGTAGTCAGTAGCCTTGCGCAAAATTAATGTATACTGCGCCACATTTTAATTGTTAGTACCGGCACATGCGACAAATTCAAGTAGTTAGAAGATAATTTATACAGATACATAGGCATAGACATAGGCAATATCAGTGAAAAGGTAAGTAGTAAGTGGAGGTAAATAAGACCTGTTCCATGTTGAAGTAAATTGTGTGACAGATTCATATACACCTTACTAGTAAAAAGATAGACACCAAGGTAAATCCGGTACGTCTGTTTATTCATGTACTTGTTGCATATTCAAAAACACTAAATACACTGTTTCGGGGTCTCACAGGATCTCCTTCATCAGGCAAACAAGATTCATATACACCTTACTGACGCGTACATGAATCTGTCGCAGGTCTTGACATTTGTTGCACTATTGCGAGACAAATTTCTAATAAGAATCTACAAGACTCTTTATGAATTTCACAGCCGGATAAGACGGCAATAGATGTGATCCATATGGAGCTCTTGGATGAAGAATAATTATAAAACTGTTTCGTTTTTTGCATTCCCTAAAATCTAGATTATCTTGAATGACTGGCACTTGCAGAACGTACAGAAGTACACAGATACCAGTAGCTCGGCAGGTGTGTAAAACATTAACAACTGCTTATGTTTTGTCTTGCTTCAAAACCTAAAATCATCAACAAAATATACATAGTATATAATAATATACTTCTGTGAACTTCAAAGTGAAAGCTTATCAAGCCACGTACCTGCTTTAAACACAATTATGTGAGTCTGTAACTTTTGCTTTTGCTTCATGCCGAAGTATTGTTCCTCAAGATGACTGATATCCATTTTGCTGAGCTTCCTGTTGCCGTCAGCAGGATCCTTGTAAGTGTGAGTCACCGATAAAATCTCGCTCATATATTTATACGCCTTTAGCATTTGTTCCCACAGAGAGAACTGCTGCAAACAGCCGCAGCACCCAGACATCTTCTTCTGTACCTTGAAACAAAGCACAGTTAAGTTCAAAATCAGCCACCAATTAAGTTTTGGAAGCCTCCAGCTGCTGCCAGAACACCAGGAACACTAACTTCGATATCCCAGTAACTAGTTCATTTGTTGCAAATATTTCAGGTTGGCCTGGTTGTCTTAGTTCAAAGTAAATGATAAGTCCAGCACACAGAGATTATTGACTTAAGGTAGAACAGAAATTGTAGCCAAGGGAAAGTAATGGGATTTACAGAAGCCAGAAGGGAGGAACCCTTCACTACATCTACATGAAGGAGAATGACCTGGAAAATGCATAATCCCCCAAATTAAGCATGACATAATAAAATTACCATGGGACTGGTGGTTTTGCCATTTGTAAAATAAGAGGAAATGAAGAGCAAGAGTGTTACCTAGACAATCAGGAAATAGACAGTTAACATAAGCGCACAAATCAGAATTTATTTAAAGGAGCACTCCACCAAAGACAAATTGTGTCAGGAATGGTATATTAGTCCCAGCAGTTGACATCCTTTCCATACAAATGAATGTGGAATGTACTGCACATGAACATTCTAGACAGGAGACTTTCTGTGAGAAGCCTAGGCAGCTTTCAGCTGGATGCACAGTGGAGATCTACGAGGAGTGGGGACCAGTAAGTGTAGAATTTGTGGTGATGCTAAGGCAGGGGTGTGCAACTCCGGCCCTCCAGCTGTGTTTTAACTCCAAATCCCAAAATTCCTCTGCCTCTGGGAGTCATGCCTGTAATGGTCAGTCTTTCAATGCCTCATGGAACTTGTAGTTCAACAACAGCTGGAGGGCCCACCCATGTACTAGGGGGATAAGGGGGTTATTTATATGATAACTTCACTAAAAGCGCAGTTATCTCTTAAAGTGAATCTACAAAGAAAATAATACATACTTAACACTGCCCACCCTGCGGAACGCTGCTTTAATGATGATAAATCTCTGATTGATGTCTCCTCAGAAAATGGGGTGGCAGATTGCTAGTTCCTCGCTGGGCTCAGGGGTTCCTCCCACTGGATTCTGCATCACTACTGTGTCCCGTGGGATGAACCACTAAGTGCAATGAGGAACCAGGAGACTGACACTATCAGACGGGTCAGTTTCTGAAGAGACATTAGCAGGAATTAAAGATGCGCTCAAAAAAGTTAAAGTAGCAGACATGCCTGAAGTAAGGCCAATGGCATCTGGGTATTTTTCAGTTAGGAGATTTGTGATGAGACACTTGCTGAGATGTAGCAGCAGCGTCCCCTGCTATGAACTAGAGCCACGAAGCATCTTAAGACAGTGTTTTATACGTCTTTGTATCATCCAATAAAAATCCCCGAACTGAAGAAATACCCAGATGCCATTGGTCTCACTTTTGGCATCTCTGCTACTTTAACTTTTTTTGTGGCATCCTTTCCTTCCTGCTTCTATAACATATCGGGCCTTCCCAGTTACAAAGCTTCGAACCACCCGACTTACACTCCAACGAGCATTGAGTCTGACCAGACCAGACACCCGACACACGCAGACGAGCAACAATTGTAACCTCTGTGTGAGAACATTAATATTCCCCGCATGCCTACATCGTCTGGTTGATGGATATCCCTAACAGCACGATCCTGCAACCATCTAGCCCACAAAAATCTACTTGAAATATATCTCACCATATCATCTAAATTACTACACTTAATCAGTTCTGTCCTGGGATTTTTGTCCTCATTTTTTTCTCCCATTTTTTGGAGTTTGAAGACACATTAGTCAGAGATTTCTTGTCATTAAAGTGGAAAGGAAAGACAAGTTCAGGGGCTGCTGATACTGACCACCTTTTAAAAACGCTAATTGCCTGGCGGTAACACCTGGTTCTCTGAATTCAATACTTTCTATGTCACTGACCTTGAAGATGCATGCAGCATGGGAAGGCTGAGCAAAGGCCAAACTGCTTCTTTTTATATTTGCACAAAAAATAATAAAGCTTAATTAGATCAGCGAGCATTTCAGGAGAGGTCCGCAACGGCAGTTTCCATCATTCTCTCAGCCTCTTTCCTTTATATGTGGGTTCACAAATACCTATAATGACCATATGCAATCAATTTCAGGTAGTCATGCACAGGCGTGTAGTCATCAGCACATAGGTGTGACAACTTATGAAATCATATTCTCTGCAAAAGCTAGTTGAGCCCATAATTTACATAGGTAAGCTGTGTGTCTTGTCTTGCAAGCTGTGTGAAGGCTACACATACATTTCTTATATTTAAAGTCACATTAAAGTAAACATTTTTCCCTCCCCCCAATGTTAATGAAAGCACTTACCTTAAATTATGTTTCTTAATCCGATCTTCTTCTTTCCTGTCGTTTTCATCTGTCCCTCCAGCGCTTCGGCGGGTCTCGGATCCAGCGCTGACTCCTCTGAGCTTGCTGGCACTTCCTGTCCCACGGTGTCTGCATGCCGGTGCACGCGTCCATAGACTTACCTTGTGTCTCTCCTCGCGTCCCGGCCGAAAATGTGAACTGCGCATGCGCTCGACCCAAGATGCTTTGCAGCCGCCCGAGGATCTTCACATTTTCGGACGGGAGCGCACAGGGAAGACACAGGTGAGTATTAACCTATGTTAAAGGGTTTTTTTTTTTTTTTTGGAGGCTTTAATTATGCTTTAATAACTGTTACAGAATGAGACTGAATTATAGTCAAGCTGTCATTATGAACCAATGGTGGCATTAGTCATCTTAAGGTTGGGTTCTGTGTTGAATCACAGGCACACCCCCACCAAATCCCACAATGCCGCATGTCCGGCGCCATCTTGCCGCTGGAACCGGGCCAATTTTTCGGCCGCTGAGACGTCCCTTTGGTCCCCGATTTTCCCCATCGCAGCTGCCAGGAGGATCCTGAGGGAGAGCGGAAGGAGCCCGGGTGCCGACCGAGTCGCTGGAACCGTCAGGATAGGGTAAGGATGAGAGTGGGACCGGAGCTGCTGCGATCAGCGTCCGTCCATGCACGCCGCTTGGCCACGCCCATCCAAATCCCACAATTTACTGTCGGTACCTCTCGGTATGTAGGCCCAGGGCCCACTGCCACATGCCAACCATACCTAATGGTAAATCCAACCTTGTGTATGGCAATACTCTCAAAGCACACTGACCACATGACTGTTCTTGTAGCAGATACTCTTTCTTTAGATTTCTTATACCTTTTCAACTTTTCTCTGCAGGGACACAAGGAACAGTACTGGTACCAAGGTACACACTGACTCACCCTAGTATATGGACATCCAGCAAGGCTGTATGGGAGGCAGCCTTTCCTGTTCTGACACAGTTCTACTCCAGAATGCTACCACATCAGCTGTGCATTACTTCAGCAGGGCTCAAGGAAAGAGGACTCTACTCATTCTTTTCACATGCATTCACATATCTGATGGCTATGACACTCACCTTCTGCCATTGCTCACTGCTCCCTGTAACACACAAGGCTCTTGTTACCGTGGCTCTTTTTCATGGGTCAGAGTTCATTATCAATGCATTTGGTGCAAAACGCACACTAACTTGATTATTTACTTTTAAGACCCCTTTAGAAGTAGGTTGTAGTGGGATGTCATGGGATCTACCTGAACAGATATATGCAAGAAATAAACAAGCTTGGTTGTACTAGTGATTTGCCTGTTGCACAACCGTTCATTCAACACTCACTTCCAAAAGTACTAGCACTTACTCAGTTATTAAGCTAAAGCACTTTTACTGCTCTCCAACTTTGATTGCCACTTCTAGGATCACATGGAAAAAGGGATATTGTGCAAACACCCAGATTTAAAAAGCATTAAGCAAGTACTTGTGATGTATACTATGACAATGTAGCTTTAGTTTATACACAATTTTATAGCAATTGGTTCACCCAAAGGGCTTGTCCAGTTAGACCAGGGGTCAGCAACCTTAAACACTTAAAGAGCCATTTGGACCCGTTTCCCACAGAAAACAAAACACAGAGAGCCACAAAACCCTTTTGACATCTAACATTGCATATATCGTCTTTTACCTTTATGCTATGTATAGCATGTATATAGGTATTTGTGGGCTTAGTAACGCACTGGACTCTGGGCTTAGTAACGCACTGGGCTCTGGGCTTAGTAACGCACTGGACTCTGGGCTTAGTAACGCACTGGACTCAGGGCTTAGTAACACACTGGACTAAGGGCTTAGTAGCGCACTGGACTCAGGGCTTAGTAACGCACTGGACTCTGGACTTACCTGAGACCCCACAGAGCCCACTTGAGAGTGATCCTGCAGCGCACACCATAGATCCTGCACAGCCCATCTGAGACTCTCTATGGTGGGCTCTGCAGGGCCTCAGGTGGGCTGGTCGCCGGGTTCCCTTTCCATGAACCTCCTCCACCCCCTACCCTGTCACCTCTGCCATGCCGCCCCTGGTACAGCTGATACTCATGTAACAGGCCCCCCGGGCTGCCCAGACCCCTCACATGGGTGCCGGCCGTACCCCCCTGATGGCGGTGTTCTATCAAAGTTTGTGTCTACGTCACAGTGTGTGACCGATGACGTGGTCACACATTTCAATGTAATCCCGCCCAGTTTTTTGGCGGTGGAATGTGTGACCACCAATAGGTCAAGCATTCCAATGCTTTCTCAGCTGTTCCAGGGCAGATCGGCATCGCAAATCGTATGTGCAGGAGAACTGATCTGCCCTGGAACAGCTGTTCTGTCCTGAAATGTCCAATAATGTTGTATCCTATCAGGTACAGTACGTCCTGACTTTGTATAGTTGTTGGTAGACCTCCCAAGCATCCCAGATTCTGTGGACCTTTGTGGATTTGGGTTCTGGAACACTCATGATCTTTGCTGGCACTGTTGGGCCAAGTCTTGCCTGACAGTGTCTACAGACTGTAGTACTATTGCTGACATCATTAGTTAGTGATGCAGAGCTCTACTATATTGCTTATGCCAGGGGATGAGGGGCAGCAGAAGAGGAAAAGAGTGGTTGTTAACTTCTACAGACACTGACACTGGCATTCTTCCTCCC